ATTGCACTTCAAAGGTGGCTTGCATGCAGTTGTGGATCATCCTTAATATTTCAAAAATTAGAGAAAATCAGCATTAGTTTTTCAGTGAACCTGTTAATTTTTTTAAAACCCAGTTACTGGCACTGACATTAGCCAGCTCTGGTAGCTGCCTGTGCAATGTTTTCTTGCTTGTGGAAGGTGAAGTTTTCTCATCTTGATGTAATGTTGCTGTTGAATGGTGGAACACTGCTGTTAAATTCCTCCTCCACATTTATTTATTTATTTATTTAAGGACAACCCATTTCCTTGCACTTAAGACTGCTCATGTTGGATTTCTGTTGTGGTCTTTGGTTCTCATATTTTCATCCAGTTTCTGGATTTAAAAGACACTTTCAGACCTTCAGTAGCAACAGAACTATCTTGAAAGGAAAGGATACTTTTCTTCTTAAACATCTCTGATCAAAGAGTAGATAATTTAAAAATAAAATAGCTGTGTATAGAAAGGATCAGTGGTGTATATATTTTTCAAGGTTTAGGTTTCCAAAGTTAATTAAAAACCTAAGCATGCAGTGGTCCCAAAGCTATTAATTGCAATGACAGTCCAAATCTTTAAGTCTTTTTTGTCTGCAGAAAAGATGAGATGGTCGGACCTGAATGCAGCCATTGCCTAGGCTTAACCTAGAATGCCAAGAACCTCTCTCTTGGTAGTCTCTACCCAGAACATCTTGGTGAGACAGATAGTCATGTGCCACCAGCTGAGGGAATTCTGTGATGGAAATGTAGGAATTCAGCATTGCCTGAAAGTCTTTATGCAGGTGCCCATCAGGAACAAATGAACCTTAATTTTATTATGTGAGCTTGAGCAAAGTCTGGAAAATGGGGTAGTTTTGATATTTCAAATCTCTGAAAACAGCTTTTTGACTAGATATTTATATTTATTTATATATTTAGCTAGCTGTATGCTTTAAATAAGATACCAGAGCTTATGGACAAAATGTGCCACTATAATTGTGTGCCTTCAACTGAAACATCTTACACATTTTAACACATAAATCCAGCTAGTAGAATCAAGTTCTGGCTTGTGTTGTAGCAGGTACTTGAGAGCTTTAATACATTTGTAAGGTACTAAATGGTGAGCTTGAAAAATAATTTAAGAAACTGTAAGCTTGGTAGAATAACCATTGTTCCTAAAGTAAGCCAGTGAAATGAGTGTTGCTGATGGCAGCTTCTGCATGTATAATATTACCTCTTAATTGGGAGTGAAAGCCACTTAAAGGCTTCATGTTATTAGATTACAGTTTGTGTCTGTTCACAGGGTGGACTTCTGATTTTCAAAGTACTAAACAGCTTAAAAATTAGGGTTTTTTCCCCTTGCCAGCCTGCAGGTTGTTGGTGGGGTTGATGTGATTTCTTCTCTTTTCACTCCTGCATGCTGATGGCAGGTCAGTGGCTGTTGTGGCTGTGACCTCAGGAAAATAGGGTCCCAATTCCATTTTCCCCTAAAGACATGCAGGAAAACCCCAACTGTTTGTAGGGTTGCACTGGCACCCTGATCAAGTATTGACCTTATTTGAAGAAAACTTTGGAAAAACGTTCCAGATTGGAGGGGTGGTGGGAAGCACCAGGTAGCTGCCTTGGCCAAGCAGTGCTGTTAACTTGGCACTATCAGAATATTGCCTCAGTTTCTTGCTTCAGCTTGGGCCTGCCCATGTGCTCTCTGCCCATGTAAAATCTGTACTGTGGAGATTTTTTGATGAGTAACCTTTGATTTGTAGAAAACCTCAACTCACAGAACTAGCTGTTCACAAAGGGGCTTTTCCCTCATCAAATTATATCAAGAAGGAAATATTAGGTATATGTTATTTTTGTCATTTGCCATCCTTGATTAATAAGGAAGCAGCATTTTAATAAATACCAAAATCAACATTTCTGTTATTAATACTGAATTTTAAGACCCAGAAAAATTATTTACATAATAAAGATGTGATAAGTTTGCCATTTTGGCTAAGCAAAAGGTGTGAAGTTTGTGACCTGATCCTTCATTCCTGTCTCTGAATTCCTCATCCTTTTTCTTGCTCCACCCTGACTTTCTCCTCCTGTGATGTGAGTGCTGCCTTGTCCACTCCAACTTGCCTTTCCAGTTGGTGCAGCTTCTCCTGCACAGGAGCCAGGTGTGCTGTGCAGTCACTGTCAGAGGCTCCTCTCAGGTTGCTCTCTGTGCTCTCCCCTTTGGCTGCCACTTGGAGGGCCAGCAGAAGCAGCACAGGCTTTCCACTCCCTTTGTTTCATCTGCTCTCATGTGGCTTTAGTGTTTTCCTGTGGTGCACTTGCTGTCTTAGCTTTCCTGAGCCTTTTCCCTGTTCTTTGCCCTCCCCCTCCCAAATCATTGCCCATTTTCAGGGTGTCTCTTGTCCAATATTTTTCTCCCAAACTTGCCTGTAATTTCTTTTTAATGTGTGTTTTATTTGTGGGTAATGTTGACTATTCATTTTGCCTGTCACATCTGTTCAGATCACATGCATGTCTGTTTTATTCTGTTTCAGAGGGGATGTATCCAGTACTATTTCATTCACTTACAGTTGTTTTGTTTTCAGTTCAAAATTCATACAGTCAGAACTTTTAGGGATGGAATAACTTACCTGAGTGCAAGAGGAAGAGTTCACAGAATAAAGTGCAGTGGCCAGAATGAGGGATAGGGAAAGCTATTCAGCAGCTCACTGGGATGAGACTAGTGTTCTTGTAGGCACTAAACTGCTTAGAAGTCTAGTAGAGAAACATGACACAGCATCCTCAGTTTTTTGGGAAGATAACACAGAGGCTGAAGAGTGGGGCCAGGTGGGTCCAGAACCAGTGAACAGTTTGATCCTAACTGGGTTTTAGTGCTTTGTCCTTGTATCTGATGTTGTTTAACCCTGAGTGGCAGCCTTTTTGGTATTTCTGATACTAGACTAGCTGTGATGTTAGGAGTTAAAGATCCCAGGTTCCCTGGTGATGCACATGGGTTGATCTGACAACTCTCCACCCCACGCCAGCCCCAGCAGAAGGATTACAGGCATTGCAGGAGGTGGGGGGACACCATCCAATTAAGGGTGCCTGGAATTGTGTTAGAGGCTTCTTTCTCATTCTTCTCTTCTTCTTGCTCAGTGTGCATGATGGTTTACTTGAATTGCCCCACAGTATTTTCTCTTGTGGCTGTTGCATGCTGTCTTTGGGTACCTCACCTTACATTTTGATATGCAGGATGGTGAATATATATGGCTTGAATGTTCTCATGAGCTGTAAGCTGCTTCCAAAAGGCAACGCAGATCAGACCAAAATCATCTCAGACTAGGCCTGGGAGAATATCTGGGTATCTTTGTATTAGCTTTTGGTGCAGCTAGTGGGGAAAATTCCATTTAATTATCTAGAATGATTGTGAAAATAAAACCATTAAGATTTGTATATAAATTACTTTGTGTATGGGATAAAGAAGATACAGCATGTTGTTAAAATACACAAGCCAAATGTTAGTTGGTGGATTTAGACTGCAGGGAGTTGATAAGCATTTGTAATCTTATGCCCAGAGTATTTGGGTAAAATCTGCTCAAGCAATTTTAGCATATTTCATTTTAGCATGTTTTGTCATTTTCTTGCTTTGAGAATCTTGATTTATTTTCTTTAATATTATTACTTCTGTGGAATAAATAGAAGGAAAAAAAAAGCTTCCTTTGTTTAGTTTTGTCTTGGTTTTTTTCAGTAACACCCTTTCCACCTCTATCTCCCTGGATTTTGTTTTTCTTTTTCATCACCTTTTCATGGAAGTATAGACAAACTCATGAAGTTCCTTATTTAGTCCCTGGATCTGCTAAGGGGTGTGGTTCTGACACACCAGAGTTCCCTCCCTGACATTATGGGTTCTTGAAGTCTAATCAACCAGTGTCTGAAGATGATGCTTCAAATTCTTCTTTTTCTTGGGCTTTACTTACAGTGTGTTTGGTTTTTAAAAAACCAAACTATCTTGCTCTGAAGATTGGGATTTGGCAGCTGTTGGAAGGAGAGAGGAGCTGTATTTATTGCATGAAAGGGACTTCTCAAGAACTGCCTGGGCTGGACTTGGTTCTCTTAGGGAAAAGCTTTTTGAATGTGGTGATCTTGTCATCCTGCTGTAATCTGTTGGCTTTTAGAGAGTCCTGGAAGTGGCGTAGGTAAAAGTGGCTTTTGGTCAGCAGTAGTATTTTCACTTCTTGCTGTATTTTTCCTACCAGATTCTAAGTATTTTTTCATTATGTCATTGAAAATGAAGTAATTTAGGGATTTGAAAAGGCCATATTCCCTTTATTTTTCTATTGAAGTCTTGTTCTTTCCCTCCTGTATGGCTTCATCTGCTCTTGTCCGTACACTCTGGATATGTAGGAACTTGAGCCTTCCTAGTGTCTGCAGGAGTTACCTTGGCTGATAGCAATGAAATCAGCTGAAGTCTGAAGTTATGCATTTCTTCTGCTTAATAAAACCAAAAATGAAAGAAATGCTGCCATTTGCCTGCAGAATTTTGGAGTATTTGGTAGCATTGGATGCACTCAATCTTTAGAAGGCTTATTTTTCAAGAATGAGCAGTGGAAAATTCTTGAATACTCTGCCACTCAGCTGGCAAATCTGTCTTGCTGTAATTCTAGTGGGGTTTTTATCCTCTTGTAATTGTCAGGAAGCAGCAATTCTGTTAATTAAGCATTACTGTTCTTGGAGAAGAGGATTATGCATGAAGTTCTCTGTGTTTGTACAAATTGTTTCCTCAGACACCCTAATCCAGTGTCCTGTTTGAGCTGTTAAAAGAGGGATTTAGGGAAGAAATCTTGGTGCAGTTGCTCCTATATTACTAAATCAATCTGTGTTGGAAAGCTGAAATGGATTCCTTAAAAAAAAAAATCAGTGTAGTCAGTTTTTTCACTTCTTTGCATGACCAGGTGTGCTCTTGTATTTTAAATTAATCTGTGAAGCACTGTATCAATCCAGCTGTTTTCATAATAAATATTTTTATTTTTCAGGTTCACACTTTTTAAAAAAGAGGAATAGAACAGGAAAAAATGGCAGCAGAAACTCAGACACTTAACTTTGGGCCTGAATGGTAAGTTTTGTCTATTTTGTCAGACTCCAGAACTTGTTTAAAAGGACTTTTTTTCCTTTGGAGCAGAATTGATTATGGGACTAAATGGGATACAGTGTCTTTGTTTTGTCCTGTTTCACCTCAGTCCCTGGCCTGTGATCTAAAGCAGTGTTATAAAAGGAGTGTTCATTTTGTGAATTGGCTTTGTGTAGGAATCGAGTTGGGTTTTTTGTTATGTTAATGCATAATATTTACCTTGCTGCCAAGCATTTGAAGGAGAAATAATGTTTATGATCTCAGAGGTATGCACAGAATAATTGAAGATGTGCTTGTTCAGTCTTTCTGTGTGATGAATGTTAATAAGGAAGTTCTTAAACTCTCCTCACTAGACTTAAATCTATAGCTAAGCAAGCTTTTTCTTTTCCCAGTTTTAAAGAACCTAATTTCTGTATGGAATATGGGGAAAAATGAGAGTTTTGTGTCAGTGCCCTGCACACTTGTATTGAAAAGTGTCAGGAAAAGAGAGCTGTTGTGTTCAAGGGAATCCATGCTGTCACATCATTTTGTCAGCTGTTAGTTTTACAGCTTGTCTGGCATGCATTGTCCTGGCTTCTGTGCAAGAACAATTGCACAGGTGTGGTAATTCAATATTTGTTCCAGTTTCTTGGTAAAGTATTGGTGAGTTCAGTTACAAACAAGAATTGTGAGTGGTGTGGTTTCTGCAGAGTGTTTGATGTCCAAGTGTGAGAATGGGAATGCAGGGTGGTTATAGGAAATACAGTTGCTGCAGAGCATGTGATAGAACTGTTCCTTGAATACATTCACTTTTGCTGACACATTTCTATACACAATATACAGAAATTGGGAGAGAATTCAGTGAAGAAGCAAGACATGATTTGCAGCTTGTGAAACAATGAGAGCTCAGTCTATTTTGTTAGAATGAAAGAAGGTTAAAGAATGAATTTATCAATATCTATAAATATACCACCAGGCAGATATCTTGTGCTGGAGTGCTCTTCAGTGTAAGACAGACATGATTACATTCTTGATGGATGGAAGCCAAAGTTATATTAAAAAGAGAAGGGGGAAGACAATGCTAAAAAAAGCAAATATTTCAACAGCAACTTAATTAACTGTGTCACAGTGAGGGGACTGTCATAGTGAGTCTCCAGTTACTTTAAAAACCAGATTAGGTTATGTATGGAAACATATATTAGACTTCAGTGAATTTTAGTGTATTTTTACAGGAATAACGGAACAGAAGATTTATAAATTTTCATTTGGGTTGTGGTATAGTCATGACTGTCACATAAGCTGCTGTGTCACTTAACAGTGAGACTGTGGGTCACGTTTGATCTGATTGTGTTGAACGTTGCACTGAGCCATCAAATCCTTTAAATAATTCTTCTGCAGGCACGGTTTGGAAGTGCACGGTTATGTGGGGGAACTGCCACGTGGTGGCACCAAACTAAAGAAATAAGATCAGCTTTTGACTTACAAATGATTTTTTCTTTTCTGTTTAAAGGACAATAAAACAAATCGAAGCATGTTTCAATAATTAGGTGAAAGGTAGTCTCTGAATCACTGTTTTAATTTAGAGCTACTTCCCTGCCAAGGATTTTTTGATTGCTGAGAAGAGCTTTTACTGTTCTACTTGTCTAAGTTGCTCATCAGACAGAATGTAAGAAAATCAGCTGGGTTTTGTTTCTTTACACACATAACCTTTTGTAAAACATTCTTCAAACTTAAAAATACCAAGGATTTGGGTAGCTGAGGGAGTGGCTGTGTAGAATGAGACGAATTCACCTGCAGAATGGGCATAATGTACAACAGTAAGGTGCTACCTGCAAGAAGTCAAGTAACTTTGCTGTGTGGGATGAGAACAAATGTATTAGCATATTTATCTGTTACCAGAAATCAGATTTATTAGATTGCTGCTTCAAGTGTCTCTGAAGTAGAGTGCCATTGTATTTTGTACATATCTTTTTTTTAAATTTTATTTTTTCTTTTATTGATTTAACCCTAAGTTAGATGTTATATGCACTCTCAAAAAATAAAAGCCATTAATTTTAATTTGTGTAAAAGGGATTTGTGGTAAGGAAGGATTCCAGAAACACAAGAAGAAACTCCATTATAAAATTTACTGTGCTGTTCTGTTAAACTTGATGAAACATCTGAATAAACCCTTTCCTTAGCTTAATATATGCTGCACTCTCTAGCATGGTAAGAATTTTTCTTGGCAAAAGGAAGCTGTTGTCATTAAGGTGTCCCACTGATTTGTGTGCAGCCTGTGTGAATAGCTTAGGCAAGGCTTTAGGGGGGTATAGCTGGCTTGCTGTATAGTCAGCACAAGAGTTTTCCTGGGGCAAGTTGAATTCCTTGATGTGCTCATGGGAATTCTTTTATTTCTTGCTCTCCTGGCTGTGGGTGAAACAAGGGAGGTTCTTCCACTCCTCCTATTGAAGCACTGAGAGTTTTGAAGTTAAACTGTTAATGTCTTTACTTTCAGTATTGTATTTATTTTGTGTCAAATCTGTAAATGTGCAGAGGGATGGTAGCACAGGTTTAGATATTCTCAGTTAATTTTTATTGCTTTTGTGCTTCCTTTCAGGCTGCGAGCTTTGTCCAGTGGCGGGAGCGTGACATCCCCTCCTCTGTCTCCGGCCTTGCCCAAGTACAAACTAGCAGACTATCGCTATGGGAGAGAAGAAATGTTGGCACTTTTTCTAAAGGATAATAAGGTGAGCAGGAAGAGGAAGGTGCCCTGGTGTGTGTGTTCCTAATGACAGTTTTGTGATTAGGAATAGTTGTTTGTATTTTGTGGTTATGGACAGACAAATCATATATTTCTTGCAATCCTAGACTGAAGAGGGCTGATTGTGGGGGTTTTCATGTGTGCACTTGTTTGATTGCACTTTTACCAGATTCCATATGTTTTTGGGGTTTTTGTTTGTTTGTATTTTTTTTGTGTGTATGTGGGGTTTTTTTGGTTTTTTTTTTGTTTTTCTTCCATTTTAGGGGTAACTTCCTGTACCCCAGAGAACAAAAAGACCTGATTGCCATATTCAGTCTCACTGCCACAGATGACTGAGGGTTAAAGTCGCCTTGCAGCTGTGCAGATTTGCTTGCCTCAGTAGGATTTTATTTAATGTAGTGCATGATAGTTATTTGATTCAGCTACAAAGTCAGGCAATAAATGATATGAGCAGATCATCTGAAAAAAGCAAGAGGTCTCTCTCCCGTCTTAAGTTGGTTCACTTTAGCAGGTGACTGGCCCAATGAGAGCAGTCCTCAGGAAGCTCCCTTCTCTGGGAATCAGGACACACAAACAATGACATGTAATGCATAAGAGCAGTATAGAAAATCAGGAACTTCCTTCTGGTTTCACTTTGAACAAGGGTTCTCAGTGATGTAGAAGATGATACAAAATTTCAGAGCCCTTTCAGGCAAACGATTGGTACATTTTGCAGTTGTAAACATTGGGTTTTTCTTTAGATGGTGGCAGTGGTTGGTTAATTGTTGCAGCAGACTTGGAGATCTGAATGCCCCTGAGAGCTTACCCTTGGGGGAGGGAGGGACTGCAAGAAATTATGTCAGGATAATGCTTTGAGCTTGGAATGGAGATGTGCACACACAGCTTCAGGTTCCTATCCTGTCTTGGCTGTGCTGACACTCTTGTACAATACTGGGAGCCCTGCATTGCTTAAATAATGGATTTAAGGGCATTGACTGTCAAAGATTTTTCTAAGTCTGTTCAGTGTGGTATAGCTTAAAGCCATGCTTTAACATGCAGAATTGTCCTGTTCTACTTCAGGAAACTGTGATTTAGATCTTGATGTTATGCTTGAATAGGTCAGCCAGTCAGAAGTTGCTGTTTTTTGCAGTTTGTGTTTGTAATGTCAGATGATGCTGAGATCTCTGCTCTTGGGGCTGATTCAGAACAACCCTCAAATATCCTGTGTTACAGGAAGTTCTCTGATTGTTATGAATGGTCCAAATAATATTTTCTTCCTATGTGTTTGCCAGAAGGGCATTATGATTAGAGTATGTCTTTCTTTTGCTATCCACATGTTTCCAGGGTGTTGAGTGATGCTAGTTGTGAAGACTGAAAGGATTCTTGACAGTGGTTCAGGTCAGCTAGTGGATGTCAGCAATGTTTTTAAGCTGTTGAATCTAATCAAAAGAGAGACTGACTGAAAACAGGAAGACTTCTGCTAGCATATATCTAAAAGGAAAAAATTCTTTAGTGTTATGAACTAAATATTTTTGAGGCAGTTGTCCATTGACATAATTGGAACTCACTTGCTGTATGTAATTGGTAGTTCTTGTCCACATCCTCAAGATTGCAGCTATTGATGGGGGTTCTGATTCAAAATTAATGTTAACATGTATTTTGATTTAAGTCATAAGTTTTCTCTAGTTAATTTATACATATAGTTTCATTGTACTTGGCTTTTTTTGTATGTTTTTTTTGTTGGTTTGAGTTTGGGGTTTTTTGGTATATTTTTACTCTCCTGGCTGGTTATAAATTGGAGTTGCTTATTTCAAATTAAATACAACCTCTGTGCTGTAGGTGGCAGTTTTGTTAATTAAAAATCTGGCTATAAAAATGTATTGAAGTTAAAAGCAATAGATGAAATGTCACTTGTTTCAGATTTCAGCTGCAGTGGTGTGTAAGTTTGAGTTCTACTATCTGTGGCCTTGTTGATGGGTGATGCTTTGGATGCCTTGCTTGTAAGAACTTTTTTTCTGAGGGTTGTAAATTTGCAGCAGAGTTACCCACCCCCAGTAAGAGTTACTGGAAGTACTGGGTAGATGGAGACAGAGTTGGAAGAATAAAAATTTTGAATCAGTGTGTGTGACATCATCCCTGAAGTAGAAATACTTGCATGGAGTAGAATGCTCTTTTTCTTTTATACAGATACCTTCAGACCTTCTGGATAAGGAATTTTTGCCTATTTTACAAGAGGAGCCCCTGCCACCACTGGCACTTGTACCTTTTACAGAAGAAGAACAGGTGTGTATTTTTTTTTTTAATCTTAACTTTGTTATTAGTGCAAAGACATAATAAAGAATGTGCTTCCATTAAGAAAAACAATGAAATTTGAAATTAGGACATCTCAGTGTACTAGTTTGAAAGCAAACTAGCAGGAGATTCCAAGTCAGAACTACAGTTTAATAGGAAAATTAAAGGTAATAGTACAGAAACTCTGACTTAAAGTGACAGAGTCGGGATATGACCTGACACCCTGCTGGGCAGGGTGGTGGTAGCAGTCTGATTAAATGGTGGCTGCAGTCCTGTTGGAGTGGTGGATGTGGTTTTGGCAGAGCAATGATCCTGTGGAAAGATCTGGAGGTCCAGTGGTGGTTATTGAGCTCTTGTCCTCTGGGAATGCAGTGGTAGTGCTCTCCTGGTGTTCCAAGCCTCAGATTATATAAAGGTAGGAATGTTTGGTTCCTCCCCTGGGTGGGGCATCTCACAGTGGGGTGATGTAATTCTGTGAATCATGGGGTTATGGGAGACCTTGATGGCTCTTTAGTGGAGATTGTCCCCAGGAGGGAGTTACCAGGGATGAGTCACAGAGGAGTTAAAGAACACTGCCTCACCTATTTTAACAGCTTATGGAGATGCTAATAGAATACATACCTTTGGTTGCACCTTTTCATTTTAACCTAGGACACTGAGAAAGATATTATGAAAGCATACTGTGTCAGCATAAAGTATAAATTCTATCCATGCTCAATTATTGTCTTAAATTGGAAAAAATGGTTTTTATCCAATGTTCTGTTGAAGGAAGACAGGTTGTTAAATCCAGGATCACCATCTGGGAAGTGTTACCTATTTTTTAAGTATGCATCATTTTCAGATCAGTGACATTTTCTACAGTTTTTACCACCTTCTCTTTGGTAACCAGAGAATCACAAAAGTGGCTAGGTTCTGTAGCCCCTGTTTTGTGTTCTTTAGAGAAACGCTGAAGTTTTTTGACTGTTAACATTTATTAAGATGCAGTACTGTTAACTGCTCTGTATATAAGCAGTTTCTTTTCATCTCCTCCTTTGATGTATCTATAGGTATGTAACCACATAGAGATGGATCAGAGTGAGAACAGGTCCATAATGATTCCATTTCAGGGATGACTGATCTGGGTAGTTTGAAATCTCTTGCTTGAAATTTGTTTCCAAATGGAGAAAACCACCCATCTTCTCTGGATAAGTGCCTCTGACTTTTGACTCTGAACTGGTTTCCTCTTTCTGGCTGTCAGAACTTTTGATTTTGCAGTTTCTCTCTGATTTGTCATGTTTCTTAGCACTTTTCTTACTTCATAATACTGTGGTTTGGATTTTTGTTTCTTTTGTAATAGAAGCTGAGTATTTTTACTGGCTTGAGTGATTTGATTTTTGCAGGGGTGGGTAGTGTTACTATTAGCTTAAGATGTCAGAGCATTTTTCTTCCTTTGCCTGCCCCAGGCTGTTCTGTTCTTGAATTTTTCATTTCATTTTGTGCCTGGGTATTTTGGCATATCCTCTTCATCTCTTCCAGACTTCCTTCCTCTTCAGAGCTGGTCCATATTTCTTGTGTGTCTGTAGGATGTTGTCATTTCACACAAGATACTAATGGTTTAGATTTTATTGGAGTTCATGTGGGTACCCTGTAAGCACTTCATGTCATAGTCTTCAAAGGCACCTGAGATTGAGACTGTGCTTTTGTGGGAAGGCTTAGCTTAGCTCCTGTTCTTGAGTAGGGAGAGAAGGGGTTCAGGAGCTAGCCCCAGAAATGGTCAGCCAGACACACAGTAGCACCCCTAAATGTTGAACCTTTGTGTAAATGTCTTTGGGTTTATTCTTTTGCTGATGCATGGTGGAGTCCTTCAGGCCTCTTACAAGGGGACGCTGACTGCTGGTGTTTGTCAGGATGCTCTCTGCAAGGAATAACAAGAGTTAAAGGCTATGGGATGGAAAGTGTGCAGAGTACAGATGAGATGGGAAGTGCTGCTGAGCTTCAGGGCTAGATGTGATCCTCTGCTGCAGTGCCCAGTGTTTCAGCAGTCTTGTAAACTCCTGAGGAGTTGGTGTATCCTGTGTCACTGCTTTTCCCTTCTCCTCTTCACCTGTAATCATACAGGAGCCTTTAAGCAGTGTAACAATTCTCTAAAATCTCCACAGAAATCATAATCTAGAAGAAGAGGTCCATATTCCCTTTTAAAGAAAGCTTTTCCTTTAATGCTTTCTGGGGACCCAGAGGATGTCAACAGTCTGGTTTTTCATGCCTTTTTTCCTGTCTTCATGATTGATTTGAGGTAGCAAGGGAATGGTATTTTTTAAGTTAGAAATTCTGGTGTTTGTTCCCCATGACATAGCATTGTTTATCATTAAGAATCATCTTCAGAAGTGATTTTGAGGTGAATATTAATGGATTTGCTGCTTGTGGTGATGCAGGAAAGTTCTTGCAATTAAGATTGACAGAAGGGAGTTTAAAAGACCTTTTTACTCCCTCTAGGAATACTTAGGATAGAATTGTTGTCTCAGAGCTGGAGAGGCAGGGCTTTGGGAGTCCTTAGAGGAGAGGCTGATCAGAGCACTGGTACTTTGATGCAGTGTTCAGTTGCAGCTGAGCCTGTCAGGATTACTTTGGCCTTAGATTCAGAACAATTCCTGCTGTGTTGTGCACCTGATGGCACTGCAGTTGTATGTTTACCATGGAAAGAACTTGTCTCAAACTGGATTACAGGTGTATTATCTAGGGATGGTGACAGATCATGTCAGCTATATTGATTTGAGTTTAAATGTGTTTTGTTTTGTAGTATTTAATTGGATACTTAAGGCTACAGTGTTCCCTGTAATAGGACATGGACATGCTTTGGATGGAATTGCTGTTTCTTTTTAAGTAAAATGTTATTTTTCTGAAGATAAAGTTGTTGTGCTAACTTAGAGTTCAACTGATTCACTTACTGTAATGAAATACAATATATTTACAATCACAGATTTGTCTAAGATGTGTTTCCAAGGAAGTGTCTGTTGAAGCAAGGGAGGTTTCTGCAGATGGCTTTACCAGAGCTTCCCACCAAGGAGCACTGGCAATGTGCAGCAAATGTTCCTTTGCCTTTCCCACTGCTCCTGTTTTTCCCATTTGCATTAGGGGAGAATTTGCTTGTCTTAATCTTACCTGCTTGCATAGTAAGGGAGGCTCAAACTCTTGCTGAATATAATGGAGATCCTTTTGTGTCCTCCTTGGTTATTTTCCTGACATCTGTTTCCTAAGACATCTTCATTTGCTGCTAAACCTCTTTTGTGGCAGCTTTGTTCTTCAGTCTGCATTGTCAGCATTGGCCATTGAAGGAGTACCCTGATCAATAATAGGGCAGTTTTTGCTTTTTTGACTATGCTTTTTTACTTCTTACTGTGATCTTATCATGTGGGTTGTTACCACTATGCCTTCACTGCAGCAAGGCTCTTCAGAGGGGAGGGAGAAGTTGCTCAAGGTTCAGGCAGACAAGTCAGTTTAAAAATGAGATCATTATTTTGTTCTCACAGGAAGAATAAGGCATAAAAAAAAAAGGAGTCTCCTATGCAAGACAATGATTCTGATAACTGAAATATGTTTTTTTAGTGAAATGTTTCAGTGCTTCACAAAAAAAGCAGAAGTATGAGCACCCAGAAAGGTGGTGGTTTGCTCAGAGGCAGATGGAGGTGGTTCCTTTTCACTTGCAGTTGAAATGGTTGCTTTAAACTTTAGGAGCTAGCTCAGAAAACAGATTTGCTGGAGGCTGACCTTGCGTTTTTGCCATGCATGACTGCATTTTTTCTTTCCCCTCAAGTCTAATTAGTTACCAGTTCTTTCTTGAAGGAAGATATACTTTTGTAGGGAGCACATATCAAGCAGTTTTTGAAATGTTTCTGTAATGTATTAAATCTCCTGTTGGCTTTGATGTTAGTGATTTAGATTTTAAATAGTATATAATCACTTGACTCATTGTTCTCTGAAGACCTTCAAAGTCATAGTAATTCACATGAGTTGATGTAAGCACCTTGCTGGCTCTAAGTTCCTTTCAAGAAGCCTGATACAACAACTGTTTGGAGTCCTTTGCATTCTAATTATTCAAAACTTGCATTCAGAAAGTGTGTGGCAGTTCAGGTTTACTTGTTAATGTTTCTGTACATGCTTCTGAATTCTTTGGCCCAGTTTTCCAAGTGTTTGTGCTCAGAGAATAGGGTCAGAGTTGGTTATATTTATCCATTCTTTATTGAAATAGCTTTTTCTTTTAGCAATTGTTTCATATTAAGCTAAAGTTGAATTTTACTGGTGTTATTTTCTTATGAAAATGAGTGAGTATCACTTAAGTTTCAGAAGCCCTAAGTAGACTTAGTTTTTCCTAAAATATGTTACTCTTGTGATATTTAGAGAATAAAAAGGCTTATTTCTGCAAAGGACATTGGTAAACATAATTCTATTCAAGTTTTCTTGGTCTTTACATGTTCCTGCTTTGCTTAAGTAAGTTTAGAATTGGTATTAATTATTGGTGTCAGGTATAGGCAGATGCCAGTCTCTTTTTGCAGCAGAATGTGTGTTTAACACTGCTGATGTTCTAATGGCCTCTGGTATCACCTGAAAAAGGAGTAGCTGTTCAAATGCTTACTTCAGAGCATAGAAATCTCAGCTAAGTAACTTGGAAATGGTAATATTGACCAAGATCCTTTTATAGACTGCTTCAGCTGCTCATGTGGGCATGGAATCCTTTTCCTTTCTAGTATTAATTGTAGAGAATTTGTAATAAAAACAAAGCCTAATTTAAGATAATGGCAAACGCTTGCTGTTTTGTTTTGTTTGGTTTTTATTGTTTATTTGTGTATTTGTGGTTTCTTTGTGAGGGTTTTTCTAGTGGAATCTGACAGTGCCTCTTTCTTTTTGGCAGAGAAATTTCTCGATGTCTGTAAACAGTGCTGCTGTCCTGCGGTTGACGGGACGCGGAGGAGGAACGGTGGTGGGGGCTCCTCGAGGTCGAAGTTCCTCTAGAGGTCGAGGTGAGCTGCCTGTGGGATGTGCTGCAGTGGATCCAGGGCATCCAGGTCAAAGCTGCTCAGAGATACTAACTGGAGCTTGGCTAGAGCCATGGGTTCTTTTTGCTTCAAGCTTTGAAACCTTTCCAACAAGGTGGTGCTGGAGAATGAATATTGGGTTTAGTGATGATTCTGCACATATTAGCACACAGCTGGTATCTCTGTTATATGCCTTTGCCAGGTTGATGGGTGGGAATCCAAAAGGAAAAGGTAGTTTTGGGTGGAATATGAAATTCTTTGGTTCAGAATTGTTATAAATTGGTTTTATGCTTTTAATAAAGTTATTTCTAACGAGAGGGTAGGAAAAATCTATGACTGTACATAGAACATGGTTGTAGTAGGTTGGGTTCAGTATTCTGAAAAGCCATCTTCATTTGTTAACATCCTGAGTGTAAACAGTTAATGGGAAGCTGTAATTGAATTTGGGAGACATTTGAGTCGTTCTATTTCTGGTGCATCACTGTAGCTGTCTCATCCAGGATCACCTGAAACATTTGCAAATGAATGGAGAAAATGTCCTGAGGCCATATTGCTAAAGTCAAACCAAATAGTTAAACCCAGAATTTATCTTAGCAATTCCTTTTCAATGTGTGCACTTCTGTGAACTCTTCTTGGGGGGCTTCATATATGAATAGGATGGGCTGCATTTGGAATACTAGGAAGCTAGTAACTTGGAAATACTGAGTAAATAATCTTGTAACCTCTGTCTTTGCAGGTGCTTAGGTGAGATTTCTCTTAGAGCCCTTTTTAATTTAATTTTACATGCCCTTAACGGGTGGTATTTTCAATAAGATCTTCAGGAAGTACTTCATATATAATTAGATGCTTGACAGAGTTTTACTTTGACTTAATGCCTTCTCTCATTTCTGTTCTCATTCCTTAATCCTGCTTTCTTTTTAGTTTACATCTCTCAGATATTTGTAAATGGTTTTCTGTCTTCTTGTGGTTGCTTCCCAGCTAAGATATGAATTTAAAGCTTTATGAGACTATCACTTAGATTTTCCTGTTGCTTCCCCTTCATTTACCATTGTAGTTGCACAAATGCTCAGGGTTTCATTTAAAAAAAGTGTGCATATATATATAGATGTGTGTACTAATTTGGGAGTTGTTGCTTTTCTGTTTTATTTTAATGTGTGTGTTTCTATCACCTATGTTTCACTTTTGCTAGGAATACATATTGGCTGTTTTTTTTAGATGCATCAAGACATAATTCTGCAAATTAAATTATTATTGCTTAAAATTTGATGATTTGAGATCATACATCCACTAGTGTGCTCTCTAGTTTCAATATCAAGATGCTTTGACCATTTGTAATTTGGCAAACCCTTTATTTTGCTTTCTTTTGTCAAATTTCCCTGTTTTCTTGCTGCACTATTAACAATGTCATCCTTATGCAATGAGCAGTGATTGTTTTTTAATTGCCCCACTAGTTGCAATGAGATTGTAAGGCTAAATGTGGCAGAATATGGCTTCTAATCCAGTAATTAATGATTCTACTCATATGCATGACTGCTTTGTTTGGCACTAAAGTTTATTTCCTTATATTTTATTGGACAGAACTTAAAATGTATGCAGTATTAAGACTTTGAAAGTGTTTGAAAGCTGCTGCATGTATTCCTGGTTTCCCATAGTTCATTTTTAAGATTTGTTAAGAAATACTAGCAAGAACTTTGTTGGAAAATTAATAATTTTCACTTTCTTTTTTGTTTATCCTAGTTTGGTCTTTTAAGGTGTTGGAATTATTATATGGTGTGCTTGTGAGGCTTCTCTGTTTAAGCTGTAGAGGACATAATTCTGCAGTAAATTTCTTCAGCTTTCTGAGCTTTCCTTCTTTCATTGATCCTAGTTGCTGCTTGTTTCTTCCACTCTTCCCCTCTTCTTCCCATGAGCAATTGCTGTTGCACTCTAGGCATGATGAGTTTTCCCAAAGTTTTATATTGCAGCAAAGAAATTAAGGCTTCTGCCAGGAGAAAATGGTACCATTTTCATAATGATACAGATGATGCTCTTGTAGCCAAGGACTTCAAGTTATTTATGAAAATTCAATAGAGGACTGTTGACGTTTACAAAAACGTTGCTTGCAAGTAGCAGGGTTTAAATGCAATTTTGTTTTTTCAGGTTATGGTGAAAGGACTTGAAATTTCTTGGGAGTTTTTTCACTAAATGAGCTGCCTCACTTAACAGTTGGAAAACATTCTTATTGCACTGAAAAATTGCCTGGGTTCAAAAGGTTTTCTGGTGTTTTCCATGAACTTTACACAGCTGTATGCAGCAAAGCTGCTGCCGAGTCAGTGTGGGCTTCAGCTTTACCAAAATGAGATTTCTTTCTTGAAAGGACTTGCACCCCAGCAGCTTTATAGAGGAATTTGCATGCGTGATTAGATTTGTTAATGAAGTTCCCTGACTGAGGCACAAGACACAGAATTGTGTTCCAGCATTTGAGAGCACGAGAAGCAATCTGTGCTGGGTTGGCAAGGGAAGGAAATGCTGGTAAAGGAGTGTTATGCGTAAAACTCTAAATGGGATTCACTTACCAGTATTTAAAACTGCAGGGTAACACTCAGTAAATATTCTCTGGGTGGTCACTCCAACTTTTACTGAAAATCCTTATGTTGTGATTATGAAAATGTGGTTACTATGTGAAAATTGCTTTGATTTTTGTTTTGTTGGTTTATTTTTTTGAAAATGAAGCTGTGGTCTCTGAAGAAACCAAGTCCTTGCACGTGACTCTTCTAATTGACTTGTTTTCCTGGTAGCTCCCTGTGGTGTGCAGTTAAGCCCTGTGCTTTGTGCTGGCAGGACTGGAATGTCAACATTCATGAATAAGAGCCTTGGATGAGGAGAGATTTAAATAGTCCCTGGAATGGGCTGTAAGCTTACAGACACTTTGTTTTGTAGCTGTTCTCCCTTCTGGTTAAGGCTGTTATGAAGGGTCCTTTGCTTCCTGTTAGAGCTCTTTCCCCACCCACCCTCTGTGCCCTTTGCAATCTGTTTTTGCTGCTGTTGGAAAGTGTGTCAATGGTGTGAAAGTGTAATGTTTGCATCTCTAAACAGCAGCAGTTGAGCTACAGTTACTCTGTTTTTTCCAAACAGTATTATGACTGTGACTGTAGATCCTGAACTCCAGTTATGCTGTAATTTCAAGAATTTGCTTCTTGTATTCCATAAGGCTTTAGGTTTTTTTGTAATGAGAATTATAATGACAGTTTTTGCTCATGTCTTATATTTTTACTTAAATTCAAACTTATCTATTTTTCAGGTTAGAGACTTAGCTGTTATGATTGCAATGCCCAGTGGATTGGTGTCCTCATCCTGAGGTTTTTGGGAAATTACTGAAATACATATGATACATTTGCTCCACTCTATTATTAAATGGAAGGGTTTATTGACATTTATTGACTATGCACTTAATCTGCTGCTTGTGTGCCAGGTATTTTTTCAGAAGTGGCATTCTGTTTAAAATAAGCCAAGGAGTGCAGAAGCAGAAGGTCAGGTGGTGTGCTTACATGGGCAGTTTTATCCTCTCTGCAGGCATTTCTCATGCATTCTGTAACCAGCATTAGCTGTGCCCTGGTGTGCACTCTCAGGTCAGACTCACCCACATGGTACTTGCTGAATGACTGACTGCACACCAGTTTCCCTTGACTGGCTGCTTCTCTTCTGTAGCTTGGTAGGATGTGTTTGATGCTTCCCACACTGTGCTCTGCTGGCTGGCTGCTGGGGCTGCCCATGTGCTTCTGCTTGCCACTGTTGGATGGGCCCATGTTCTTTCCACACATGGATGGGGTGGCAGCACAGCCAGGGCAGATGTGCTTCAGTAGCCCTGTCCAGTGTTATGTGGTGTCACTGCAGCTGGCAGCTGAGTGCTGGGACCCCACAGGCAGCCTTAATCTGAATGTCTAAGATCAATAGTTTAGACATTTTGCAAGGTCTGAATTATCTTTTAATTCAGACCATTTTGGTGGCTGAGCACAACTGAAATACTGATGGACCACCATACAGGGGTGGTGAGTGGGGGGAGGTTTCTCAGGCTGTGATTTCCCATACTTTTAAATGGCCATCAGCCATGCTGCTGGGAAAACAGCTGATCCTTGCTCTTGTACAGGACACTTGCTTTATTTGCTGGTGAAATGTCCTGTATCAGCCAGGCTCTGGTGGTGTGTGGCTGCTCCCAGTGTGCAGCATTGCACTCACCCTTGCCAGAGCAGCACTGCAGTGCTCACTGCACAAGTCTGCTTTGTTTTTGTTGGGAAAGTGTAACTTCCCACCTCTGCTACCTCAGAGACAGGAGATGAGTCAGTGCCTTCGTTCTGTTTTGACTCTATGAGCTGCTTTTGCTTTATTATCTCTTGTGAGAGGAAGGAAGACAGCTTTCCTGTAGTGAATAAATTAGGCACAGGTTGCTATTGGGTGAGCAGCTGGAACTTTCCTGGCTTTTACTTGTGAAGAATAAAAACTTTTCTGGGATTTTTGGGGACCCATGATGCTTTAACTGGATAAACATCATGCTGTTTTTGATATTGTATCACCTCTTCCTGTTTCTTGCCTTTGCAACTTGTTTTACTATAGTCAACTTTGTATCAGACTTGCCCTAGTGAAACTGTTTCTAATAACTCTCTTAGGTCTGATGCTGATTTCTCCTTTCTTACCTTGAGTGCTCAGTCTGCCTCTCCCTGAGTTAGTGTAAAAACAGCTATGCTGGATATGGTATGGGCTTGCTCAGCTCCAAGGTGACCATAGTCTAGCAGCAGCTAAAAGAAGGCATCTTGGCAAGAGAATGAGGACTGAGAAAAACACAATGGTTAAGAGGCTCAGCTGCCAGATGTTTACAGCTCTGCATATTTCCTGAACCAGATGTGGCCTCTGTTAATGAATTTTGTTTATCTTTTTTGAGTTTATCCAGTCTTCACCTGAACTTAGGCATCCTCAAAACTCTGTTGGGAAGAAAGGCTGCATCTCTGTGATTCTGGGAGATCTGTCACTAATAAACTTTGCTGGTGATAGAACAGGATAGTTTGTCTGAAGGGCATGTTAAAATTGTTCCTTGTGCACCCTGCAACCTGTTTGCTTCATACAAAAGCAGTTTTGTATTTAAAGACCCCAACTAGATTATCCATGGATCACTTTTTTTTTTTCTTTGCCTGAAAAGCAACTTTCTGCCCTTTTCACCTCCCACCCCTTCTAAGAGATTTGGTATAGAATAGTAGAGAAACTGTTGCAACTGTCTTGATTATTTTAAATTTCTGTGGTCATAAGATACTGAAACATGGTATGATTCCTTGATATATCCAGATGTCTTTAGATTTTAAATGTAGAGGCTTTTAAATACTTTCTTCAGAAGACTGTAAGAACTGCAGTCCATTCTGAATGTGTTTGTTTCCTGTTTCATTTGGGCATTCTGTCTTACTTCTGCGGATCCCTGGCCAGGTTTGCACCTTGTACTTTGAGATGTTTTTTTTCCTTGAAGCCAGGAAGAGAGAAATATGAAAAGATAGATGAGGTACTTACCCAGCCAAGAATTCCTGTTACCAGGTGCTTTTTAGGTTTTAAACTTGACTGTAGAGTCTACATGTGTATGTAGGCAAGGCATTGTCCTGACAGCAAGCTGAGAGGTGTTCCACTTGTTCATCTTCTTTCCATGAGACCTTGAAATGGTAAATTAGTTGGTTAGAAACCTGTCATTTCTTCTGCTGGAGCACTGTGTGAAGCTGTGTTTGTCTTTTGTAGATCTGGAAATTTCACCCTATCTGTTAATCTAAGCAGTGCTGGAAGTTATTTTGACGAGCTGGGGCTATATGTGGGTGTTGTTTTCCTGTTGTGTAGGGCTTGTTTTCTTTCACCCAAACACCCCATGCCTTTTCAAGCCCTCAAGATGTGCTTTGAGATGCTTTGCTTGAGGATGTGTCTGTAACTTTTTGGCTTGAGGCCTGGTACTTGGTAACTGCCTGTAGAGAACCATTTACTGAGAAGGTCAGTAGGATAATTTCAAAGCTATGGCTAATGTCCTCCTGCATTCTCACCTGCCTGTAACCAACCATCCTGTGATCCTTCTTTTCTTCCCACTGATCCTGGGGGAGATTTTTGCTGGCAGTCACTAGAATTTAATAGCTTCCTTCTCCTTTATGACCCTTGACAGCAATAATTAGGAGTACATCCACAGTGCAGTGCCATTATACTGGAGTTTGCTTTTAAAAGAAATCTGATTTTTATGTGTGAAGCACACGTGTGCAGTGTGGATGTTGTGTGATCAATGCATACTTACTTGGTAATTTCTCTTGGGTAAGTATTTGTGTTTTTCTGCATCATATTTATTTCAGAATTGTTTGCTTATTCTGTCTGGTCTTGCACTTCTTGATAAGAATTTTTGGGTAAGGCTCTTTCTTCAGTCATTGTTCCTTTTTCCTTTTGTCCCAAATAATTTCACTGGGGCTTAAGGCCGCAGGATTGGTTCTCAGAGGCACCAGGAAAGGGAAACCTACCTGATTCTTTCAACTTCTATTATTATTTATTACAAACACTTGTGTTTTTTGTCTTTTCAGGCAGAGGCCGAGGAGAAAGCGGTTTCTACCAAAGAAGTTTTGATGAAGTGGAGGGTGGATTTGGGCGAGGAGGGGGCAGGGAAATGCACAGATCACAGAGTTGGGAGGAAAGGTAACAGAACTCTAGCACTTTAAGTTTTTTACACACATCTGTTCAGCTTCCATTTGTGCCTTTTGACTTCATAAGAACACTTTAGGAAAGGTAATTAGTTATATCTGTGAGTGAAGTGTCTGAATTTCTAATATGGAGTCAAACACAGTAATGTTTCTTGAGGCTCTGGAGAAAGTAAAAGAACATTTCTTGCAAAGATTTTTTTCTGCTGAGTTCCTGGGAAGAAGGAGCTAACTACTTCGAGAGAACATAAATTACAGCAGTTGCAATTGAAGTGCTGGTGCTAAGGGTTTGCTTCAGTTTTAGTCTGGACATTGTTCACAGTACTTAGGGGCACATTTGAAAACATACCCAGTTCCCAAGGGCCGTGTGTGTATTGGTGTTACTGAGAATTTCAGTTGTCGCTTGGACCTCTAAAGGTAATGTCCATCAAGCTCCGATTTTAAAAAAGTTCCCACCAAGTAAAGAAAACCAGCAAAACCTATACCTAAAATGAGTTTTTGGAGTAGTTCCAAAACCTTATTTGAAACTTCTATTCTGCCTTTCTAGGGGAGACAGACGCTTTGAAAAACCAGGGCGAAAAGATCCAGGTATGGTTTTGTTACTGTGTGGGCAGAAAATGGGAGGGAGGAGCAGGGTGTGTTTGGGGGAAGGGATTTGTACATGTATCAGCCTTTCTTACTGCTCCAAGTACATTGTTGATGCAAGATTCATGGTACTGTGCCAGGTTGCTAAGTGTGTTCTCCAAGTGTTGTTTCTCTTATTTGTGTTGTTCTCACTATTGGACATTTAAGTGTGGTAGATAAGAAGCATGTGGAGTAAGTAGGTTGTGTTTATTTATTTAAGTTGGGATGTTTGTAACTGGAATTAAGTTCCTGTACCTCTGTGAAAGAAGCCTTTGCTGATGAGCAGGCGTGCTGTGGTAACACGCCTTTTTTCAGTGCAGCTTTAAACACTCCTGGTGTGGGCTGTTTTGGTACCCAGGATTTCTTGACCATTTGACCTTTAATTTTTTTTGAATACTTGATAGTGTGAGAGATCCCAGCAGTGTCCTGAGGTTCCCATGCTGATGGATTTTCTGTTGATCAATTTAGTTAAGTCATCATCTGAACCTCCTGTTCAGTCTGGTTATCTGCTCTTCTGTCTCTTGTTCCTCCCCTATTCTGTTTCTGAAATGCTTCACACTGGCTATTCACATTCTGGCAGAATGCTGGATCCTTAATTGTGGCCCAGTACTTCTGAACATCCAGCTGAACTTGATTTGGAGTGGGTTTGTCATCTTGGAGATGAAACCTAGACATTCTAAGGGTGATGGGAATATCAGGGCAGCTCTGGCTACCTGATAACTGCAGTGACTTTTGCTGTGCAGGCTCGTGTGCTGCTTGTTCTCTGTTGTTCCTGTTCTCTTATTCCTATGCCTGTGTCTTCTCTGTTTAGGACCCAAGTAATCTTTGGCTTTGCTAAACGAGTCTTGGCTACATACCCTCCTTGGTAATATGCTGAGAAAGCATAAATTAGAACAGATTTGCAGGTTGCATTTAAAGACAAACCCAAAGAGATCCAATTGTAATTAGAAGTTGACAGGAATGCATTTTAATCCCTGTGTAGCTGTTGGTATTTTTGTAGTGAGAGTAGCATAAATTGCCATATTTCTAATTTTCTGGATTACCATGGTGACCCATGCCATGGGAGTTTGCTTTCAAAGCCCTTCCAGTCCTCCCTCCATATAGGAAAGAGTGCTTTTATGTTTCTGCTTGTTAAGTTGAATGTCAACATAAAATTAGGATGCCTATGTTTTCCTCATTGTCTCCTTTAAAAAGAGGATACTTCTAGAAAATAATTTGATATTGGTCAGAGATTGACCAGTTTTAAATGTCAGCAGTGAAACTCAGGACTTTCCATGTATCTATATATTCATGAATTTTTTAGGAGAAAATGAAAATGGGGGAAAGTAAGTACTTCTGAGATTTCAGGGCTGCATTTTTACAAAAAAAAAAAAAAAAGGATGTTGAAGTAGTATCTACCACAGTTGATTTAGTTTTATTTATTTAGCTTCTTCTTGTTGTTGTGATTCGAAATATAGCAATTCCAGTTCCAGGATATAGAATGTACCACGTTTCTGATAAAGAAGGATGCAAGCATTGCGTATTAGTGTAGGATCAGATTTCAGTATTTCTCAGTTGAAATTGAGGAGAATTTACACTGTGCAAAATGTCCTTAGAGAAGGTGATGTCTGCCAGAGGTTAATCTGCAGCTAGTGTAGAGCATTTTGTGTTTGTAGCAGCTGCTAGTGATGAGGGCTCTGTTGAATGTGTCCTCCAAGAACTGTTCCCTGGGGAAGATGGTGTCCCTGGTGCAATTTGTTGGAAGCTCATTGTGAGTGATGATGTGCTTATTCTCAAATTATGAAACTTTTTGAGTACCTAATTGCTCTTCTTTAGTCTCTTGTATTTCTCTGCAAGTCAGTATGAGAGGCAAAAGACCTTCAATCTTTCTGAAGTTTAATTATAAAAATATTGTTTTTAAAACAGCATTGCTATGTTAGAGGTTAATGTTGCAGTAAGTGAGAAGACCATTTCTTTCCCCTTCACTTCCAAAGAGACATAAGGTGAAGAGCACAGAAATATTGACAGGAAGTGTTGGTCTGTTCTGACTCAAGCCTTGGTTAATTATAAGTAGTTATTGTTGTGTAATAGCTTTCCAATGACAAAATATTTTGAGTAGGAGAGAGGGTACAGATGTGCCAAAAGAAGTCCCAGGTTAATAGCAAGCACTAGGATCCACACAAAGCTGTGGAAGCAGAAAGGAAAGGAGTTGATATACAGGTTATAATTCAGGCTCACATGCTTTAGCAGATGCCTGTACTGGTTTCTGATACCTTGGTTAAACTCCTTAGTTGAGATTTTATTCTGTGATTTTACCATGTTTCAGTTTTTCCTTGCTGTTTCGTAGAGCCTTGGATTCAGATTACATAATTTACTGAGTTGCCAACTTTTTCATGTTCTTTGTTCTCAAGATCCCATTAGAGAATTATTAAGAAATCAAATATTTAATCACTTCTGGGTATTTGTAATGGAGGACAATGCAAGATCCCTCAATCAAAAATTGAGATTAAAAAAGTAATAGAAATTTAACAAATACTTATTTCTCAAATATGATCAGTATGCTGTTCTTAAAAATTCATGATTGCTTTTTCAGTGCTCACAGTTTGTGAGGTCACATTTGACTGATTCTCAATATAAACAGTATCTGTTCCTGGTTTCAGCATGCAGATTGAAGAGGCACAAAGTATTTTTAAGTTTGTTGCAGATTGTCACAGTCTGACAGACTTCACTTAGAACCCAGATTGTAATTGGAAGGCTGAGGCCATTAGCAAAGAAAATGAGCAAGTTGCTTTCTTGAGCATGTCTGTCTCTTCACAAAAGCTGCTTAATTTTCTGTGCAGCCTCCTGACTAATACCAGCTTAGTAGCTGAAGGGATTTGATTAGTTACCAGCAGTTAGAAACTGGTAGTGAATAATTGTTATGTACTTCAAACAAATCTGAGAAGTCAATTGTGGAACCTGGGTGAGTTCTGCTTTATGTGTGGGTTTTGGTTAGGTTCAGAAGACTTGCATATAAAAGGTGTGTTCAAATGGCTATAAAAAGAATGTTGAATTTCTTTGAATCATACTTTCCCTCTCTCTGCCTGGCTTGTTCTCCTGCCATGTCTTGCTGGCAGGAGTTGTGTTCACAGAAGGTGCATCACTGGTTTGCTCTTGCTGTACTGAAGCAAGGAATGCTGTGTTGGTGCATCAGAGCCCATCAGCAGTTTTCCTAGGTTTCTACTCCAATTTGGGCCATGGCATATTTCCAGTACTTTCAGACATCCGTGATTCACCAGTTCTCTGGAACTGTAAAAGCAATATTAATGTATTTTCTGCCCTTGTTCTGAAGTAACTACACAGTTCTTTGTCTAATTTGCTTCTGCAGTATAATTCAGTTTTGCATTCCAAAATGTAGTATTTGAAGATTGCATTTAGCATATACTAACAACATGTGTTTTCTTTATACTTGCTGTTGTACTCCCTTTTAAACCAAATCTGTAAAAAGAAAATTATTTTAAAACCAGGACAACTTCCAAGTATTGAGTCATATAGAAATAAAAACACCAGCCCACCTTTGATTAGATGTGAATTGAAATTAGAAATAGCTTTGTATACCTCTGGCTCTAAATCATGAGATTACAGTCCCATGTGATGTATGGGAGAAACCATGGCTCACCCAGAATGCTGTCAAACAATACTCAATACCTCACAGAGAATGCTGCCCTGTTTCAGCCTTTACTCAGGAGTCTGTTTTACTGCTCTTGCACTGGTTTTTAATTTGTAGGCCTCTTATCAATGTCTTACATTGATAGAGAATGTGGAAAAAATGCAAGAAATAATTAAAAATTATTGGTGTTGACACAAGGGGGAAAAGGGTTCTTTAAATTGTGTATGAGTCAATAACTAAAAAAGCAGTGATGAAGAGGGATGAAGGCAGTGTAACTTGATAGTGTGCTGCTCACCAGGCTCCACAATAATCACCAATGCTTGTCCATAGAGTGAAGTTTAGAAAAGATTTTGGGAGTGTCTGTGGTAAATCTAATCTCTCCGAAGGTCTGCAATGGGGGAAGTTGGAACAAAAATGTGGCCCTTGTGCCTCATTCCCTAACTATGTGTGGAATGCTTCTGTGGGGTGACTCCCCAGACCCTAAAAATGAAAGTAGTTTTTTGCTGACCCCGTTTAGGTTATGAGCACACTTCAGTCAATAGTTTTGTGACTTGAGAAGAATTCAGTTTAAGCTATCTGGTCAGATAGTTTGAGGCCATTTTTCCTGCTGCTGAACACTTGGATGACGTTAAGAGGAAGTATATTTGGTAATGTCTTCTGCTGTTGTCAATGAAAGTTGCTATTTATGTCATCTGGGTTTATGGGAAAAGTCTTTTACCTTTGAGAGGTAACTTTATTTTAATTCTACTTGAATGTTCAGGTATGAACACCTAATGGGCACTGATTTTGTTGAGAGCTTGGAAATAGTTATCCATCATTGTGTTTTTCCTTTAGCATCTTAAATTATTTAGGAGCTTCAGAGTGGCGTCTTAATTGCAGGAGGTTTATGAGGCACTTAAATACAGAAGTCTCTTGTATAGTTTGTTTTAATTTTTTATTTCAAAATTGATTCAAGTGTCTCTAAATATTTTTTGTGCTGTGTGTACAGGCAAAGATTGATGTTAGAAAGCATAAAATATCAATGGAAGCAGTTCTACTTCTCATATATAAATTGCGTCCTTCTGGGTCTGATATACTTGAGACAAGCAATGCAAAGGTGAAAACATGTGGAATGTATGGGCCTTTAAAAAAAAACCCTACATTCATTCATTAGAAATAGCCTTTTTTTTCCCACTGCTAAGTAATTTATTCAGTGTTTTCAAATAAGAAAAAATTTCCATTGCAGTATTTGTCATATACACCTAGATTTTTTGATAGTGTCTTCATAGACCGGTCTGAGAGTGAGATGCTCTCTTATTTGGCAGAATGAAGAACTGCACTTAGGATATATAATTCT